GTATGGGGGGAGGGGTACTGTCCCCAAGGCCTGTGCCATGGGGTGGGAGGTACCCTGTCAGGTCCCTGCGCCATGCTCTTGTCACGGGCCTCAGCCAGCAGGTCTGCAGTGGCTCTTCCCTGAGACCTGGGCCAGGCAGAGGCCTGTGAGGTTGCAGCATCTCTTCTGTGGGAGGCTCAGCTCTTGTCCCTCCTGCTGTTTGGTGCTGGAAAGCACGATGTCCCTGGGGCCCCCACTCAGGACCCAACAGAATGCCTGCCCACTGACCCTGACTCCCAGAGTTGGACCACATCCCACAGCAGTCCCCCACCTTACCAGGTCATGATGGAGTCATGTCCACCAGGAAGCAGGCATGAGGTTTGGGGGGCTTATGATGACCAGGGGCACCCCCTGGCTGCAGGTGCGAGGCCGTCCTCTCTGAGCCCTCTGCCTGAGGGTTCTCTCGTCCAGGCGCTTGGCCCTTCCTGCAGCGTTTTGTCCCCTTGCCCTCTGAGGTGTGGCCATCGTGGATGCGGCTGGGGCTCCCTGAGGGTTCCTGCTGTTGCACTGGCAGGTGCTGTCGGGACAGGTCACTGAGGCTCACACTCGGTTGCTCTGGCCCTGACACTCTCCTCCCGTGGCCATGGGCAGGTACGGGGTCATCATCGTCGGCAACCCAAAGGCCCTATCCAAGCAGCCGCTGTGGAACCACCTGCTCAACTACTACAAGGAACAGAAGGTGCTGGTGGAGGGGCCCCTTAACAACCTGCGAGAGAGCCTCATGCAGTTCAGCAAGCCGCGCAAGCTGGTCAACACCATCAACCCAGTGAGTGTGGGGGCAGGATGCAGGGGGAAGGGTCCCTGGACAGGGGGAGGGCCTGGGAGCGCACCACACAGCCAGCCTGGGTGGCCTATGGGGCCCTGTTGGCCTTGGCAACTCTTGTCTGGAGAGCGGCAAATTCCTCACCAGTGTGCCTTCTCTACAGGGTGCTCGCTTCATGACCACTGCCATGTATGATGCCCGCGAGGCTATCATCCCAGGGTCAGTCTATGACCGCAGCAGCCAGGGTGAGTTGGCAGGGATCCCTCCTGCCCCACCCACCAGTCGCAGGTGGACTCAGCCCTGGGTCGAGAGGGCCAGGCTTGCGTCCCTGTCTGCAGCCATGTCATTGGGGGATGACACTTGTACACAGTGTTTCCTGGGACGAAGCCCTACCCTTGGTGACCCCCCCCTCACCGCAAGTGTGATCGCTCTTGCTTGCCTAGACTGTTCTGGGCTCCTAGTGGTGTCTCTGGACGGAGGTTGAAGGCCCCGATGTGCCCTTGAGGGTGCAGTGCACCCCCATTTTCCACACTGCAGGCAAGACCCTCCCTCAGCCCCATCCCTCCTGCCCACTGGGCCAGACTGGAGTGTGTTCTTCAGCCTCCCAGGGCCTCTCACCTCCACGCCCAGCAGCCGTGTAGCCGAGGGCATCCCAGAACCTCCCTCCATTGGGGCCACCCCCCATGGCCCACACCACTGTGTCCTCAGCCCCCTTCCTCGCTCACTCTTTTCGCTTGCTCTCCCCCTGAACCTAATGGTGGGGTCTCTTCCTTTTAGATGAAGCCCCCGAGAATGGGTCTTGCTCCTGGGTGGCTCTCACATGGGTGGGGGGATGGGCACAGGCCCAGGAGCCCCCACTGGTCTGTGAGCTCCCTTGGCAGTGAGCTGAGGCTTTTCTTTGTTGTTTTGTTTGTTGGGGGTGATGTAATATGAGTGTAAAACTCGCCATAAAAAGGACTTCGTTTCTTTTTCAGTGTAAGTGAGGTGTGGTGTTCAGTGTTTAGGATACCTGTGGCCAGTGCACATCAATCACCTGGGGGGAGGCCCTGGGCGTCAGCCCAAGAGGATGGCGGGGGTGGGCTTGAGGAGCTGCATTTTGAGTGGGCTCCCCGCGGCGGCTTTGACACAGGATGACTCAAGCAGCACAGACAGTGCAGGGACACCTGCAGTTATAGGCCAGAGTAAACACAGCGGCTCGATCCCCACGGCGGGTGGGGGTTTGTTTCTTGGTGCGGCTACAGTGTAGGCGCCTGACCCTGCTGCCCCACGTCCCCAGGCCGGCCCTCGAGCATGTACTTCCAGACCCACGACCAGATTGGCATGATCAGTGCAGGCCCCAGCCACGTGGCCGCCATGAACATCCCCATCCCCTTCAACTTGGTCATGCCACCAATGCCACCACCTGGCTACTTTGGGCAGGCCAACGGCCCGGCCACAGGTAAGCGCTGCCCCCTACCCCGACAGGGACTCCACCGCAGTGCCGTCCATGAGGCACAGCACCTGCCTGTCATCCTGTTCTCCTTTTCCAGGTCGGGGCACCCCAAAAGGCAAGACTGGCCGTGGGGGGCGCCAGAAGAACCGCTTTGGGCTCTCAGGGCCCAGTCAGACGACGCTCCCCAGTAGCCAGGCCAGTCAGGATGTTGTCTCGCAGCCCTTCTCACAGGGTGCGCTGACGCAGGGCTACGTCTCCATGAGCCAACCCTCGCAGATGAGCCAGCCAGGCCTCTCCCAGCCTGAGCTGTCCCAGGTGGGCCTAACAGTGAGGCCCAGGCAGGAGACCACTGTCCGGAACAGTCTGCCTGTGGCCCCAGGAGGCAACAGGGTGGGGGGGGTATCCCCAACACTTTTCCCCACGGGGTTCACCCCCACTTTGTCTTCCAGGACAGTTACCTTGGGGATGAGTTCAAGTCCCAGATTGATGTGGCGCTGTCGCAGGACTCCACGTACCAGGGAGAGCGGGCCTACCAGCATGGCGGGGTCCCTGGGCTGTCCCAGTATTAGAAGGCAAGTGTTGGGGGCAGGAGTGAGAGGGGTGGGCAGGCGCCAGGGCTGGTGGAGAGCAGGGGAACTTGAGGTGTCTACCACCACCACCACCAACACAGGGCTCCAGACCGGAGGGTCAGCCATGTGGTGCCCCGATGGTGTGGGAAGGGGCGGGTGCCGAGGCTGTTGCTCCTCGGGCATTATGGAGGTGTGGGTGCTGGTCAGCTGTCAGTCGTAGTCCCTAGGAACCTGAGGTCTGGCCCCAGGCGCCCTGATGCTCTCGCCCTCCCCCACAGGCAGCGGCGGAAGAGCTAAGCGACATGGCTTAGTGCATCAGCATCTTATTCTGGGTAATAAAAAATAAAAATAAATGGATACCTGTTTTCCACTGCTAAAACTGAAGCACCACTGTGAGCAACAGGAGAGGGGAGAGGAGCAGCGAGGGAGAGGAGAGGAGGAGGAGCAGCGAGGCCGAGCGCCATTGCCGGCCCCACGGCGAGGAGACAGAGAGAGTGCAGACGTGCCTGCCCGCCGCCCAGCGGCCCAGCCCCAGGCCAGGCTCCTGCGTCCACATGGGTCTGCGAACGGGCGGGCGGGAGGAAGACCCTCAGCTCAGAGTAGCCCTTTCCTCTGTTCTTTTATTTTCTTCTGTCGAAAGGGGACTACGTTTTAGCAGGAGAAACTCCACAGTTTGTGCAGAGCGGGCTCCTTGGGGTGGCACGGCGAGCCATGCAGTCTGCCGCCACTGCCACCAATGTTCTGAAAGGGTTTCATTTCAAGAAAATATGGTGTTTGGGATTTTTTTTTTTTTTTAAAAGATTCTTTCAAAGGAGTGCTGAAAGCTACACTTTTTCCTAAGTTTCTCTCTAAAATCTTAGCGGTGGACCTGGGAGATACAAGAACCTTCCAGAAGTGAAGATTAAACAAGCCAGCAAAACTCGAAATTGGGACGACATCCATTCGAACAAGAGTGAGGAGCATTTTAGGTTCTAGCTCCGGCATCATCCTGCTGCGAGGCGGCACGGCCACAGGGGCACCACGGCCACAGGGGCGCCACGAACTCTGCTGGACTCTGAGCAGCAAAGCAGCTTTTGGGGCAGGCGTGAGGGGCCCCACTTCGAGTGCTCGATGCCCCTGCCAGGAGGGGCCTTGCAGGGTGACCAAGGGCCTGTTGCCCGGAGGCAAGAGACCACAGGGCAGGAAGGCCAACTGTCCTGGCTGGAGGCTGCTCGCCAGGGCCCATCTCAAAGACTTGACAGAAAGGAAGCATGAGAGATCCCTGGTCCTGTCCCGAGAGAGGCGGTCAGCCTCATCTGGATCCTTTCTACCTGTGAGGTGCTTGGCTGTGGCAGGGTGAGGTCAGGTGTTTGGGAGAAGCAGCAGATTCAGAGAAGCCAGACCTGAGGGGATTATAGGTGTCTGTCACATCAGTAGGGAGGGGGCACCCAGCTTGGTTTTGGGTGTGATTCATTTTAGTTGGGAGAGCTGCCCCCAGCTCCTGGCAACCGCATTTGGGGCATTGATCTCCCTGGCACCCACACACTTGGGGACTTAGAGCCCTGCTGGCTCTGCAGCTGTCACTGGCCCAGCCCCCACCTGGCTTATGTCACTGGAGGGGTGGCCCATGGCCAGGCGTCCAGGATAGGTTTCTGCTACCCCCCCTACACCCTGCCAGTCTGTCCCTTCAGTTGAATGCTTTGCCTCAGCTCTGCGCTTTCACTTTGTTCTGTGCCTTGAGGACAGCGCTTACTCCGAGTTCGGTGATCCTGGGGTGCCTTCCAAGGCCATGTAATTTTTGATTTTTGGTCGATTTGTTTTAAGCTGTTTTGTCACCAATAAAATATTAATAAACAGCTCTTGCGTGGTACCAGGGACGGAGGAGCTGGGTTGGGGCGGGGGTGGCCCTGGAGTGCGCGGGGCTTCTGGGTTAGGGAGGGGAAAAGGTGACCACACGGTCCAGCCAGACTCGCCCCTAGGCCTTTCTCAGGAATAGTGCTAGGTCCTGCAGGGGCAGCTCGCAGCTAGTGGTCACAGAAACCCCACACTGGGCTGGGGAGTGGAACGCAAGGGGCTTTGAAAGGGCTGGGCAGGTGGCGCAACCGCGGGTCCCCCACCTTCAACCCTGTGGAGATGTGGCAGCGGACCTCCCCAGGAGGCGCAAGGAAACCAGCTGCTGGGACCACCGAGTGTTTATTGTCCACCCCTCCCCCGCCGGTTAGCGGCAGCCGCATTCATCCACCACCATGTCCTCGTAGTGTCGCAGCACCACGTTGTCGCTGTTGTCGAAGAAGAGCACGGAGATGGGCGAGAGGCGCGCGGGCACGCAGCAGGGCAGGCCGCCATGGGCTCCGGGCGCTGCCGAGTACATGAGCGCTCGCAGCGCCGCGTGGTTGAACGTCGGCGACCCCGAGGCACCCAGGGCGGCGGGCAGCGCGCACGGGCCCTGGCAGTAGTTGGCCATGAAGCCGCGAGGTGCGATGATCCAGTGGTGCCAGCCCACCTCGCGGAAGCTCACGTAGAGCCGCCGCGCGCGGCACGGACCGCCGCCCGCCACGGGGGCCACCTCACGCCGCTGCCGGACCAGGGGGTGGCAAAGGCGCGGATCCACGGTCACCAGCAGCAGCGCCGCCTCAGCCAGGCGCGCGCATGTGGCGGGGCTCCGGGGACGAAGCGCTAGCGCCAGGCGCAGGGTGCACGGCGCCGACGCGTTTCGGGCCCAGGCGGCGCCCAGCAGCTCGGCGCGCACTGGCGCGCGCAGCGAGGGCACTGCCAGGCGCAGCGGCGCCTCGCGTCCCGCCATAGACCCCGGCCCCGCAGCGAGCGCCACGCTCAGCTCCCAGCCGCCCACCGGGCCCGCAGCCCCCGCCACCGCCTCCGCGAAGCGCAGCTCCAGGCGCGCACGGCTAGGGTGCTCGTCCGGCTCCACGGCCGACAGGTCGAAGACGACGGTCCACTCGGGGCACGAGCCTGCGGCCGAGGTGAGCTCCGGGGGCCGCGCAGGCGCACCTGGGAAGGTAGGGAGCGGCTCAGCTCCAGGACTAGGGGCAGGGGCGAGCAGTGAGCCGGGGCCGTGGAAGGGGGTGCTAGGTTGAAAGTGCGGGCACCGCTTGGAAGGCTTCGGAGGGTGTGAAGCAGCCGGGGTGGGGGCAGGGCTGGGCTGCAAGCAGGGGCCGGCGGGCGGGGATGGGGGCGGAAGGATGCTGGCGGGGGTCGGGCCCATCTGTTGGGAGGCATCAAATGGTGTGAAGTCGCAGAGGTGGGGGCAGGGCGTCGGCTGCAAGCAAGGGGGTCCTCCCAGGTTTGGGGCACCCCTCGAGAGTGTCCGCGAGGTGCAGAGGGCAGGAAGGGACCTTGGGGTGGGGACACTAGGGGCCGCTCCGGCCTCTCTGGCCACGCTCGAGGCTCGCGGCGAGCAGGGTTCCCCGCGGGGACACGGCCTCTCCCCAGCGCAAGCCTCGCTCACCGCGGTCCCGGACGTGGCGCACAATGTTTCCGGCGACCCCCAGCTCCTCCACGTGGCACGGTCGCGGGGTGGTCCCCGGGGATGTCCGCCGCGGGCCCGCCCTGGTCTCCTGGGGGTCCTGGCGACGGAAGAGGCGCCACATGATGGGGGGCACGGGCCGGGGCGTTGGGGCACCCCCGGGCGCGTCGCGCAGCCCGAGAGCCTGGAGCAAGGCGGCGGCGGGGCCCGGGAGTGTAGGAGCGCGGGCCGGGGACGGCGAGGGCAGCAGCAGCGCCAGGAAGAGGAGGAGGCGGCATCCAAGGCGGTAACGCGGCAGCGGCATCTTCCTCCCAGGCGGCGGACGGACAAGTGGGGCTGGGGCTGGGGTTGGGGCTGGGGCCGGGGCCGGGGCTGCGGCTGCCGCGCCCTCGGACTTTCGAGGCTGGGGGCGGGGCCAGTGTGACCAGGATGGGGAGGGGGCGTGGTCGAGAGTAACGGGGTCCGGGGAGGGGGCGGGGCTTGCTGTGACCAGGGTCGGAGGTGGGAGAGGGCGGGGCTCCGGCTGGGGGGGTCCAGGGGCGGGGCGGGGGTCGCGCGGCTCAGAAGTTCTTGTCCTTCACCAGGCCGTTCCTCAGCGGCTTCCTGGGGGTCAGAACCGGTCCAAGTTAGCGTGGGGAGCCCACGCCCCCGCGACCCCCTCTGTCCGGCCCCACTCTCTCCAGATCCTTCAGACCGTCCCGCCCTCCCCATCTTGCCCTCCCCACGACTTTGTTTCTAGCCAGGCCTGGCCGCCTCGTACCTTCCTTCTGGAAGCTCTCACCCCGTCGGTGTCTGTGCGTCCTGCCCACGCGGTCCACAGATTTGTGTCCGTCCTGGGGCCTTCCCGCCCCCGGGTTAACCCCACTACACCTGCTCTCGGCCGGTGGCCTTCCTCCTCTCCCCTTCACAGTGAAAACAGCCGTGGCCAGAGCCCCTGCACCTGCCCCAAGCAGACCGCGCGTAGCCCCTTCTCTGTCTGACGGTGCCTCCTCTATTCCTGCCTTTTCACAGCAAAATGCAACCGAAGAGCTTAGCATGCTGCCTCCCTTCCTTTCCCTCCATTTTGTAAAACGAGTTGTGCAGTGTGCTAAAACTCAAATCCACTTCCATATGGACCAGCAATCCCATCCCTTGTATTGACCCAAAAGAACTGAAAACAGGAACTCAAACCAGTGGCATCACTAGAGTTGGTGTCACCCAGTGCGATAAGTGATGGTGTCACCCCACCCCCCGCCCAGGGTGGGCTGGGCTGGCCATCGGGAACCACGCCCCCACTGAGTTGCCTGCCCCCCACCGTCCTGGCCCCGCCGCCGACAACTCCCCGCAGCTCCTCTCCTCTCCCATTGGCCAAGGACACCCTCTCCGCCCAATGGTGGGCGCCCCAATCCACTGGCCCACAGCCTGACTGGTGGGTGACTGGGGAGGGGAGGGGTTGGTGGTGGTGACAAGTTACCGCACCGGGTGACAGGTGACACCAACCCTAGTGACGCCACTGCCTTTGCAGCCCCTCATCCAGCAGCACTGGCCCACCAGCCAACGCAGCCAACCCTGGGGTCATTTTGGTGTCACCCCCTGTGACAGTGTCAGGGGGTGCAGCTGCACTCCTCACACACCGCCTAGTAACGCCACTGACTCAAACATACTTGCGCACGAACGTTCATTGCAGTACTTTTCACAACAGCGAAAAGGTGGAAACAAACCAAGTGTCCATCGAACAGATGAATTAATAAACACAATGTGGTCCATCCGCACAATGGAATATTACTCAGCCATAAAGAGAAATGAAGCATGCTATATAACGGGATGAACCTTGAAAATATGATGTTGAGTGGAAGAAGCCAGACACAAAAGACCACATATTGTGTGGTTCAGTTTATGTGAAATATCCAGAACAGGCAAATCCATAGAGACAGGAAATGGATTAGTGGTTGCTGAGGAGGGGGGAATAAGGAGTGACTGCTAATGGGTGCGAAGCTTCTTTTTGGGGTGATGAGAATGTTCTGCAACTAGGTAGAGGTGGTAGCTGCAAAACATTCATTAAATGCCGCTGAACTGTACACTTTAAAATGGTATATTTTGTTATGTAAATTTCACTTTCATAAAAAAAAAAATTGGAACACACACACGGATCTCTAAATCAATACAGTATATGCTCACTTAACCCCAGCTTAAGATTACAGGGAAAGACCTTTAAACTGTAAGCAATGTAAGAGACAATATTTCAAACTGTCCCTAAAGATGTCTTCTGCTGCAACTCGCATTTTTAAAGAACGCAGCACTATTTGAGATCCACCCCTTGGGTGACACGAACGGTTCACGCTTGACTGCTAACCTAAAGGTTGGAGGTTTGAACCCACTCAGTGGCACTGCAGATAAAAGGCCTGGTGGTCTGCTTCCGAAAGACCACAGCCTTGAAAACCCTATGGAGCAGTTCTACTCTGCACGCACGGGGTTGCCATGAGTTGGAATCAACTCGATGGCAACCTGACAGCAATACGTTTTGTTTTTTGTTTTTGTTTTCCATGTACCCTGCCACTCCCTGGCAGGTAAATTCTGTGGGAACCTGCCTGCTGGGGGTCTGCCCAGGCCCACTTGTCATGACCAGGGGTTTTCTGCCCCAGCCAGGATGGCAGAGCACACCCTGCTTCTCTCTGCTTTGCCAATGCTCTACATCACCTTGTTAACCAATTGGCCAGCCTGCACTGCCTGCAGTCCTAACCCAACGGTCAAACTGGACACCACTCCCTGGCCATTCCGGGAACTGCCTACTCGTGCCTTTTCCCATCTCACTCTTGGTAGAAGTTGTTTACTTCCTCTAGTTTATGCACTAGAGTACTGAGGTTTTTGAACATGTAATATATTCTCCTGGTCTAAACACTAGAGAAGTTCCTGGGTAGCACAAACAGTTAATGCACTTGGCTGCTAACTGAAAGATTGGTGGTTCAAGTCCACCCAGAGGTGCCTCAGAAGAAAAGCCTGGTGATCTACTTCCAAAAAAACCAGCTGTTGAAAACCCTATGGAGCCCAGTTCTACTCTGACACACATGGGGTTTCCATGAGTCGGAGCCGACAGTAGCTGGTTAAATAAACACCAGGGAGTATAGAAAGCTCACAGCTCACCTCCACGGTTTCTTGCTTTTGTGCATCCTCACACATATACAAGCCACCCCACCACCCGTTTGTCGGTATGTTGTACTATGGTGGCTTGCGTGTTGCTTTGATGCTGGAAGCTAGGCCACCAGCATTTCAAATACCAGCAGGGTCAACCATGGCGGACAGTCTTCAGCAGAGCTTCCAGACTAAGATTAGGAAGAAAGGCCTGGCAATCTATATCCAAACATCTGCCAAGCAAAACCCTCTGGGTCAAAAGAGAACACTGACTTATCCAGTGCCTGATACAGTGCTGGAAGACAAGCTCCCTAGGTTGGAGAGCATTCAAAACACACAGCGGCTGCAACCAGGGACTTGAGCATACCAGTGATTGTGAGGATGGAGCAGAACCGGGCAACATTTTGTTCTGTTGCACATGGGGTCGCCATGAGTTGGAGCCAGCTCAACAGCAACTAACAATAACATACAACCCAGTACAAATGTGCATTATTTCCTCCTCTTTCCACCTTGCTTTGTTTGAGAACCCTGCAGAACAGACTCTCTCACAGAATATAAAGATCTTCCTTGCAAAGATGGTCCCGGTCATGCTAATTTGCTCTTCTCTTGGCTGAAGTGAGATCTGTGGTGGCACAAACGGTTTCCACTCGGCTGCTAACTGAAAGGTTGGTGGTTCGAACCCACCCAGCAGGGCCAAAGAAAAAAGGCCTAGTGATCCGCTTCTGTAAAGATGACAGCCAAGAAAACCGTACGGAGCAGTTCTGCTTTGTAACACATGGGGTCGCCATGAGTCGAGATCGACTCTACAGCAATGGGGTACAGGATGGCTGAGGTGGGGCTCCATTTTGTGTGTTCATGGAGCCAACTCACGAGTTCTGTTAAGGTCCCATGAGCTCGCCTGTCCTATATTTGCCCACTTCTCTGGGTTTGTTGGTCTTTCTGTAACCTTTATCTATGCGGAGATAAGCCTGAGGTGAAGTCTCCCATCTGTCACTGTCTTCTGGCTTGGCTCACAGACCTTCATGCTGAGGTGGCTTGTGTGTGGCCAAACTAATCAACCTATGTGACTTCTAGGTTCTTCTCTGAGTTAAACAGGCTTCCCAGTTCCTGTTACTAGTTGCCGTCAATTCCAAGTCATGGTGACCCTATGTGTGTAGAGTAGAACTGTGCTCCACAGGGTTTTCAAGGCTGTGGCCTTTCAGAAGCAGACCTCCAGGCTTGTCTGCGAGGCACCTCTGGGGAGGTTTGCATCACCAACCTTTCAGCCAGCAGTCAAGTGCTTAACTGTTTGCCCCCCTCCAGGACTCCTCTCCCAATTCCTAGATGATACCAGTTCCCCATTTTGCTTGGAATATGATTCCACTGTTTCCATTTCTCCATTTATATCTTCGATAAGGAGTTCCTGTATGGTACAATGGTTAATGCACTCAGCTGCTAAACTAAAGGCTGGAGGTTTGAGTCCACCCATAGGTGCCTTGGAAGAGAGGCCTGGTGATCCACTTCTGAAAAATCAGCCACTGGAAACCCTATGGAGCACAGTTCTGCTCTGACACACATGGGGTGGCTATGAGTCAGAGCTGACCCTGCAGCAACTTTTGCTGTTGTTTTTTGTATTTGACAGGAAGGGAGTTCACCAGGGAGTATGATGTGAGATAAAGATGCACATTAATTCTTTCCTCCAGAGGGCAGCCAGCTATCCTATTTGCTAAACATCCTTCCTTCCCCACTGGGGGATCTTTATTTTTCTTGGATCCACAATCAATGCCCCTGGAAGCAGCAGTTAAGAAATCAAACAACGGACTGCATTGGGCAAATCTTCTGCAAAAGACCTCTTTAAAATCTTAAAAAGCAAAGATGTCACTTTGATGACTAAGGTGCGCCCGATCCAAGCTGTGGTATATTCAATCACTCACGCATATGCATGTGAACGCTGGACGACTGAAGAAGAATTGCTGCCTTTGAATTATGGTGTTGGTGAAGAATATTGAATATACCACGGACTGCCAGAAGAATGAACAAATCTGTCTTGGATGAAGTACAGCCAGACCGCTCCTTAGAAGCAAGGATGGCGAGACTTCGTCTCACATAATTTGGACATATTATCAAGAGGGACCAGTTCCTGGAAGAGGACATCATGCTTGGTAGAGTAGAGGGTCAGTGAAAAAAAGGAAGACCCTCAATAAGATGGACTGACATAGTGGCTTGAATGATAGGCTCCAACGCAGCAATGACTGTGAGAAGGTCCAGGACCGGGCAGCATTGTACCTAGGGTCGCCATGGAATGGCACCTAACAACAACAACATGATGCCCAACAAGTTTCAGCAGAGCTTCCAGACTAAGACAGACTAGGAAGAAAGGCCTGGCAATCTACTTCCAAAATCAGCCAGTGAAAACCCTATGGATCACAATGATCCAATCTTCAACTGATCATGGGGATGATGCAGGACCGAGCAGTGTTTCCTCCCGTTGTGCGTGGGGTCGCCATGAGTAGGGGCCGACTCCACGACAGCTAAGAACCACAATAACGTCTTAAAGGACTAGCCCTCCCCACTTTTTTTTTTTAATGATTTATTTTTGTTGTTGTTGAGAATATACACAGCAAAACATACACCCCTACTTCTTTTTTTTTTTTAACCAGGGTTTTTCTGGTGACTCTTGTTTGTTTTTCTGCACAAACTTGAGAACATACCCTCTGTCTCCAAAACAGCTGTTAGTCTAGCTTTTTTGTTTGTTTGTCTGGAGGGGAGAGGAGAGTATCCAACTCAGGCGAGGTGCCTCTTCATGAAATCAAGAGGACGCCTTTTGTTTCAGACTCTGCCATGGGAAAAGGAGAATCAGGTGTGAGCGTGGATGCTGGAGAGAGGAGGGGCAACGCAGGCGGGTTCTGGATGTTTCTGGTGGTTAAGATGGGCTCATTAGGTTTTTCCAGGGCTTTTGCCCTGAATTGCCCTCAACTGAAAAGGGCAAATGTTCAGAAGCAGCAGTGGGGTGGGGATGGAGTTGAACCTGAATCTTTTAGATGTTTGAAGGGTCCAGTGGATGGCTGGTGTTTTACCTACAGATGCTGGAACAGAAAAGCTACAAGTGGGTGGCTTTAATGAACTGGAATTTATTTGCTCACAGTTCAGGAGGCTGGGCGTCTGAATTCAGGGCGCCAGCTCTAGGGGGAAGCTCTCTGTCTGTCAGCTCTGGGGGAAGATCCTTGTCTCTTTTCAGCTTCTGTTTCTCGGTTCCTTGGTGATCTCCATGTGGCATCTATCTTTCCATTTGTCCTTGCTTGTCTGTGTCTAATCTGCTCTTTTTATATCTCGGAAGTGATTAGGTTTAGGATCCACCCTATGCTGACATGGTCTCATTAACATAACAAATAAAACCCTATTCCCAGATGGGATTACATCCACAAATATAGGGGTTAGGATTCCAACACATATTTTTTGGGGACATAATTCAGTCAATAACAGCTGGATGGTCCAGGAGAGCATTGTGAGCTGGTGGGGGGTGGGGGGGAAGGATTTTAGGTGACATTGTGGATGAAATGTAGGCTGAGAAGAAAGAGGGCCCTGGGGGCTGAGGGGCTGGGAAGCAGAACAGTGCCGGCTGACCGAGCAGAGACAGGGCTTTGAGAAGGGAGGGGACCACGGGACTCAGGAGCAAGGGCAGCCGGCTAAGCAGATCCTCGAAAGGGTGGGCTTGAGGGGCATAGAGACTCACAAAAAGAAGCCAGATGTGGCAGGTGGAGGAGAAGGGTGCTGACGGTTTCTCTTCTTTGAAATGTCCTTGAGCAGGTGAGGGGGGGGGACCCCTGCCAAGGTGGGGGTGGTGGTTGGCATGGGCTGGAGGTTCTCGCCCGGCTGCCTCGGCTCTCTCAGGGACACAGGAAGATGATGGGGTGGTGGGGTGGTAGTGGACACTGATGGCGGTTGAGGAGCAGGAGAGTGTCAGGGCTCCAGGGAGAGGGGGTGCTGGGTCGGCCCTAGCATTGCCAAGGCACCTCTGGGGCTCACAGTTCTCCAGCATTGTCGAGGGCCAAGAACTGGATTTTCAAAGTGTCAGGGTGTCATTGAGACAGAGTGGGGTGAGATCCCCTCGATGGAGGGGGGCCTCAGAACAAGGCACTGGGTTGTGCCGACAACGTGGGTGCAGCCCCTGGGGGGCTGAGGGCATCGGTCTGAGAGGATGGTCTCCCTGCTACTCCAATCACCAGGGGCATCCGAGGAGGGGGCAGGAGAGGAGAACAAGGGGCCATGGACGACGAGGGGGCCCAGGAGGTGAGGCCTTGAAGCTGGGAAAGAGGACGGGGTAGACAAAGCTAAATGGGGTGAGGAAGGGTTGCTGCTCATTAATTACCTTTATGATTTGCTTCTCGACTCCAGACTTGTTTAAAACTGGTTCTGAGTCATTGTTTACAGACCTAACTGAATTTTGGTCGATACAGTCTGGATTACCCTGGTACTGGGCAACTAAGGTTTCCTTTGTGGCTTTAGCCAATTTTTAGACATGTCGCTGTGCTTAAAAAGAAGGTAGGACGCTAATGTAAATTGTAGACTTTAGTTAATGATAAAGCCAGTCCAGTTGCCATCAATTCCAACTCATGGTGACCCATTGTGTCCCTGGGTGGTGCAAATGGTGAACGCGCTCGGCTGCTAACCGAAAGGTTTGGAGGTTCCAGTCCACCTAGAGGCGCCCCAGAAGAAAGTCCTGGTGATCTACTTCCAAAAGATCACAGCCACTGAAAACTCCATAAAGCACAGTTCTACTCTGACACACATGGGGTCACCATTAGTTAATAATAATGTATCAGTTCATTGATTGTAACAAGTGTACCACAGGAATGCACAGTGTTAATAATAGGAGAAACCGTGTACAGGGACAGAGGGGGGCCATGGAAACTCTCTGTACTTTCTGTGCAGTTTTTTGGAAACCTAAAACTGCTCTCAAAATGAAGTGTGGTATTTAAGAAAAAATATATGTATGTTCATGGATTGTGGGATCCTAGTTCTGTGCCCAGTCTGTTTGAGTGAGGGGTGGGAGGAGGAGGGTCTGTTACTTCCTGTGGTCCTGTCATCCGAGGTTTAGGGCTATGTCATTCAGAATGTTCCAGGTTGAGAATGACACTTGAATTTCTCTTCCTGGCCTTTTATTACTTCAAACCTTTATGTTGCCCTGGAGTTGAGGTCTTTGTAACAAGCATATAAACCAAATGTCATGGATTGAATTGTGTCCCCCCAAAATATCTGTCCACTTGGCTGGGCCATGATTCCAAGTACTGTGTGATTGTCCACCATTTTGTCATCTGACTTGATTTTCCTATGTGTTGTAAATCCTATCTCTATGATGTTGATGAGATGGGATTAATGTCAATTATGTTAATGAGGCAGGACTCAATCTACAAGATTGTGAGCAGAAGGACATGGGGACCTCATACCACCAAGAAAGCAGCACTGGGAGCACAGCGTGTCCTTTGGACGTGGGGTTCCTGTGTGGAGAAACTCCTAGACCAAGGGAAGATTGATGACAAGGACCTCGCTGCAGAGCCAACAGAGAAAGCCTTCCCCTGAAGCTGGCACCCTGAATTCGGACTTCTAGCCTACTAGACTGTGAGAGAACAAACTTCCTCTTTTTTAAAGCCATCCACTTGTGGTGTTTTTGTTATAGCAGCACTAGGTAACTAAGGCACTAAAACAAACTCGTTGCTGTCAAGTCAATTCCGATTCATAGTGACCTTATAGGACAGAGGAGAACTGCCATGTAGGGTTTCCAAGGAGTGGCTAGTGGATTCAAACTGCCGACCTTCTGGTCAGCAGCCGAGCTCTTAAGCACTGTGCCACCAGGGCTCCATAACCAGCATAGAGCTGGATTTTTAAAAACCTATTCTCATAACTGCCATAATTATTCTATTGAGATTTGTTTTGATTCCTAACATCTGGGATTCTTGCAACCCTTCTTTTTTGCACTATTTGTCCTTTTTCTCACTTTCTTTTCTTCCTTTTTTGCCTTTTATTGTTGTAATTGTTTCTTATTTCCTCTACACCCCAAAAGTTTTAACATACTTAATACAATCTCCACCCTCTTGAAAAAATGCAAAATCTCTCTATCCTATTTGTTGTGTTGTTGGGTGCCATCAAGTTGATTCCCACTCAAAGTGACCTCACGTGACAGAGTAGAAGTGCCCAGTAGGGTTTTCTAGGCTGTAATCTTTACAGGAGCAGATTGCCAGGTCTTTTTTCCCACGGAGCCACCGAGTAGGTTCAAACTGCCAACTTTTTGGTTAGCAGCTGCACACTTAACCATTGTGACACCATAGCTCCTTCTCCATCCTGTTAATGATACTTAATATTTTAGCTCTAATGTTTTAATCTCTCCAATTAGACATTTTAAATTTTTACCCAGATATGTGTCAATTTCTTGCCGATCTACCTTTCAGAATAGTGTTCTTTCTTTCCGAAACATATCTTTAGCGAAGATCGGCTGGCAGTAAATTTTCTTAGTTTTGCTCGTCTGGGTGTCCTGTATTTCACTCTTTCTCCCGAATAATTGTTTAAAAAATTGTGTACGAATTCCTGGGTGACTATATTCCACTGTGTTCTAGCTGAGGATCCCTAGTGGCACAGATGTTAAAGCGCTCAGTTGTTAACCAAAAGGTTGATGGTTCCAACCCACCAGCCACTTTGAAGGATAAAGATGTGGCAGTCTGGTTCAATAAAGATTACAGCCTTAAAAACCCTATGGGACAGTTCTACTCTATCTTGTAGGGTTGCTATGAGTCAGAATCGATGGGTTTGATTTTTTTCGTCTTCTAGCTATCCTTGATTTCTTTGGGTAATTAACCTCTTTTTTCTTTGACTGCTTTGCACTTTCACTGTGCTATGCTCTGGGCAGGGACACCTTTTTATTTATCCTGCTTAGGATTTATGTCTTGTCAATTCTGGAAAGTCCTCAGCATTATATTTTCTCATATTGTCCCTCCTTCTGTCTATTAAAACGATGTTAGACTAGGTAATTCTTATATTCTAGCTTTCATATTTTCTACCTATTTATGCTGAATTCTGGGTAATTTCTTCAGAACTTCCAATCTACCAATTCTTTCTTCAGCTGTATCTAATCTTTTGAGCTTAACATCTGTAGTGGCCTGGATGGTGATCCCCCAAAAGATACATCCATGTCCTAATCCCTGGTACCTGTGAATAGGATCTTATTTGGAAAAGAGGTCTTTGCAGGTGTGCTTAAGTGAAGGATCTGGAGATGGGATCATCTTGGATTATCCTTGTGGACCCTAAATCCAATGACTGGTGTCCTTATAAGAGACAAAAGAAGAGAAGACCCAGACAGGGGAGAAGACCATGTGACGACAGAGGCAGAAACTGGAATGATACAGACACAAGCCCAGGATGCCTGGAGCCACAGAAGCTGGAAGAGACAAGGAAGGATCCTCTGGAGGGAGCGTGGCCCTGCTGACACCTTGATTTCAGAATTGTGGCCTCCAGGACTGATAGGATAAATCTCTGTTAAGTCTTCAAGCTTGTAGTCATTTGTTATGGCAGCCCTAGGCATCCATTTTTGGCGGTCTCTCATTTCTTTCTTTTTTTGATTAGTTATTTTTAATACACTTTTCATTTCAGAATAATTTTAGACTTGCAGATGTGTTACGAAGATAGCACAGAAAGTTCCTGTTTACCCTTCATGCAGCTTCCCCTAATGTGAACATTTTAGGTTTCCACGGTGCATCTGCCATAACTAAGAAACCAACATCGGTACAATGCTATTAACTAAAAACCAGGCTTTATTTGGATTTTACCAATTTGGTCATAAATGTCCCTTTTCTGTCCCAGGATCCCACATTGCATTTAATGTCACATCTCCTGTTCCCTCTGGACTGTGACATTTCTCAGTCTTCCTTGTTGCTCATGACCATGGCAGTTGTGAGGAGGACTGGCCAGGTGTTGTGTAGAATATCCCCCAATCTCATTCCTTCTTATCCATCCTATCTTATATCTAATTATGATAACTCTGGGGCAGTGGTGACTCAGGGGCAGAATTCTCACCTTCCGCGTGGGAGACCCATGTTTGATTCCTGGCCAATGCACCTCCATGTGCAGCCACCACCCGTCTGTCAGTGGAGGCTTGTATGTTGCTCTGATGCTGAACAGATTTCAGTGGAGCTTCTAGGCTAAGACAGACTAGGAAGAAAGGCCTGGAAATCTACTTCCAAATATCAGCCCATGAAAACCCTGTGGATCATAACGGTCCAATCTGCACCTGATGGTGGGGATGGCGCAGGACTGGGCAGCATTCCATTTCATTGTGCATGGGGGTGCCAGGAGTTGGAGCCGACTGGACAGCAGCTAACAACATGATAACTCTAGTCACTGAATTCCCTGGAGAAGAATCGAAACCCACTGTTGGTCTTCACGGAGCTGATGGTGGCGGCTGTATCCTCATGTGACTAGGAACGTTTACACTGAGCTCACTCTGCTATTCTAGTGGAAACACCGCTGCGCCCAGTGGGGGATGCGAGGCCCCTGCCCCACGTTCTGCAGAGACGTCTTCAGGGGAGACTGAGCCTCCAGAGGATGGGGTAAGGAGGTCTGGCTTTCTCTATGCCTCGAGTTCTGCATTTGAAAGGATGCTTCCACATGCATTTGGAATCCCTGGGTGGTGAAAATGGTTAACACTTGGCTGCTAACCAAAAGGTTGCAAGTTCAAGTCCACCCAGAAGCACTGCAGTAGAAAGGCCTGACGATCTACTTCTGAAAAATCAGCCATTGAAAACCCTATGGAGCACAGTTCTACTCTGACGCACAAGGGGTGCCAGGAGTTGGAGTTGACTCAACGACAATTGGTACCTTGTGTCACCACCGTCCAGCTCTCTCATGGTAGGGAGATCTCTCGAATTCTTCGATTTCGGCAAAGCAGGTCCCCCTGTTCTCTCTGCCACCTCTGGAAGCCTCAGTGAGACCTCACGATCCCCACACAGAATTCCTGACCCATGTTCACAGCCGAATGAGCCTCAACTGCAA